CACCTCGACCGAATACTCAGATCAGGACGCGTGGTTCCACTGGCACCCCAAACCCGATGCCCTCACTGTAACTTATCTCGGCAGGAATGCAAATGGCGGAAGGTTCCTGATTGAATTTGAGAGGCAGTTTCAATCCACCTGGCAAGAAATTGTAGATACGTTCAGCGAATGTTGCATCAGTGGATACTCGTTTTTCTATCCCCATATGCCTCTGTCGTGGCTGATTCAAGCGTCGATGGCGCCCACGACCCCCAACAATGAGTCCTATCGAAACGCCAGTGAGCCGGCTAGATCTCCCAGAGACACCGGCATTCCGTCTGAGGAAAAGCTCGGCCGTTTCTCTCTTGACTTTCGTCCCGAAAATACCACGTCCTGCGGCTTGAGTCCTCCTCAGGAAGGATTGGTGACAGTGCTGTATGTGGAGACAGGTCACACCACTTTCACATGCGGTTCGACAAGGTACTCACCCTGAAGTCTGTTGTAGAGTTGCGAGATGAGGTAAAGTGTAGTGTTCAATCTCGCTTGTGTGGCCACAGATGTTGCTTGAACCTCAAACACCAAGTCATTGAGTCCATCGAATTGGACGACGCACACCAGACCGGTCACAGGCTTAGCATACTCCTCAAGTTGGATGGTGTCATCATTCAACTTTATTGCCACAACGGACTCCATCGCGAAACCCCGTGCGGATCTTTGTCTGCTTCCTTGAGTGTCCTCGAATGCGTCCTCGTGGAGTACCTCCTGGCCAGCCGGACTTCGATCGACGGCCTCACTGACAGATAACGTGGCCTCATTTATCCTGTCAGGAAGCGCCTGTCATCCTTCCAGAGACTTATTACTGTCGACATCCTCAAGTCACTCGATGCTCGGAGTCAGCAGGTTGCCCCCAGTATCCCGCGAACCAACAATCCCTTGATCGAGTTTGATGGCGTCTTCGACTTCTGACCGTTGTCGTTTCATGGAGACGGAGCTGCAGCAGTCGCACCTCCTCGAGATCAGTATCGACGATATTGTCATGAAACCTGTTGCGCAACATCTGATTAAGGTCGAAGACTGTTCGAACGTCGGCCCAATTCTCATCACTTTCGACGGTCGAAAGACTTGTGTTCCCTTGCGACCTTCTTATGTCGCGATCGACCACCCACGCCTTGAAATGGCATCAGACATCGACATGCTCTTCACAACCTATCACCAGCTTTGATATGATGCAGTCGGCAGAGACGTTTCTAGGACTTGATGCTCAATTAGGATGATTTTGGCAGTCATC